CCAGCCAAAAGCTCATAGTCTTAACCTTAAAAATTTTTACGGTCTAGTATGGATGATTTCATAATATTTTTGTTGTTTTTTTTTTTTTTATTGTGGAATCTGTCTTCAAGGAAACTTTTAATTGGAAAACCAATAAATAAGTGGAGATTTCCTTTTCTATCCATCTCCTCAATAACTTGGATTTTTAGGACAGAGCAGTGAATATACCGGTGATCTCATTGATGAGGTAATACAAACAGATTTTGAAAAAAAGACAGTGTAAGACCAAATTTAGAAACTAGAACCTGACCTTTAAAAAAGTCTCATCCTAGCCTCCTCATTTTACAGACAGAAGCACAGACAAGTATGCTTCCAGTTACACAGCCTCTTGTGGTCTGACTTCCAGCAAGCAGTACTCGCCATTCCATGCGTAGTCTCAATCGAAATCTGTTACTGAATAGTATATGTGTTCTGCTTAAGAATGCTAAAAACAAAACAAAAAGAAATAAAAAATAGTAAATTTGTTTTTCTTTTTCTTTTTCTTTTTTTTAAACTTTTTAAATCTCAAAAGCCTGTAGTTTGCTGGGAGGGAATGAGGAGATAGGACAGAAGAAAAGTAAATAATTTGTTTTGGAGTTAAATCTGTCATCACTGGTAGAAACTGAACTATCAGTTGACCTTTTGCCTCTGATCATCTCCTTTGCCAAAATGACAAGGCTGTTTTGCAGTTGAGATTGATTCCTCTTTCAGACTTGGCTTCAAGATTTGATCTTTGGAGCCTGTGTTGTCTCTGGCAGTGGAAACTCAAACAATTACAGACCTGTAACCCTGTATCGCAATACGTTTCCCCTTATCAGGTGCTTAGAGTGCCCCAATGGCCAAGCATACTTAGGAGTCACCTTCCATAGTTAGTTGTTATTACCTAACTTTTAAATAAGATTGTTACAGAACTTCGAAGAGAACAGCTTAGCTTTTGTCAGTGTAACAAAAGATAATAAAAAATAAAGGAAATAGTGAAGCAATAAATTCTATGTTAAATTACATTAAACACCTGTCTTAATATGCCATGCATCCCCAATAGAGCTATACCATATAGAAATGTTTTATTTTCTAAGTAATAATGCAAAAATAAATGAATATTAAATTTTTTTAGCATGATGATACTCTAATCTTTTTAACTATTTGAATAATGGTACTTCTCTATACTGTTAAAAAATTGAAAGTGCTGCTATAGATGTTAACACTGATTTTTCTATGAAAATGATGTTTTCACATCTTTTAAATTATTTTTTAATTAGATGCTCTGAAAGACCATCTAATTTACTTGTTTTTTTAGTCTAATATATAATGTAACCATGCCTACTTCTTTTAAAGGAAAAATTTAAGCATTTACTGAATATGATATTAAAATACCACCTATAATTCTTAGTGAAGTGTCTAAGGGTGGTTTGGAAATTTCTGCTTTTTTATGTATATTATATGTATTTATATGAAAATAGCTTATAGTTATCAACCTAGATACATTACATTCAATATGTTAAATTGTGATTATAAACAGTTCTTAAATAATGTTCAGAGAAGCAAAAGTCAGCCACTAGCCAGCAAATTGTTCACATTCCTGGGAGGGTAACATTTTGCCTAGAGCACTGGGTTTTATGTATATAAATTTAAGAAATTGAGTCACTGATACTTTATATTTCCTTTTGAGAATTATCAATAACCAGCATAAGTTATAAGATAATACCTGAATGTTTCTTTGGAGGGGGTGCTAAACAGGAAGTATAACAGGAAGACTGACAGTTTCTGCTTTTGTCTTAGTATCTTTGAGACAGAGAGAGAGAGAGAGAGAGTACTGTTCCTGCTAAGTAAGTTTGCTTGTTACAGAATATTTAAGTACTCATATGCATAATGTTCAAGTCCATAAAGGAAATGGAGTGACCCTCTTTAAACAAGCCTATCACACTGGTTTGTTTGGGTTTTTTTTTTTTCCTACTAAGCTTTCCTTTTTGTAGACAAGTAGGAGATGGTTAGAAATGCTTTAGATCCTTAATCTGACTTGAGGTAGGTATTTTGGGTGCAGGAGTTAAATTCCTACACGGCTGCTAATATACTACGTGACTTTTAACAGGACAATTCCTAGTTCCTGTGGTCTGAATAAAAAATGCCTACTAGAGTAGAATAGTGTTTGCAAAGGTTTATTAAGTCAGTGTATACAGATATACAGTGTGTGGGAATAGAGCTTAAATTGCAATATGGGAATTTTGGCAAGGTTTGAGGCCAAGTTTTTAACACTAGAAACTAAGGAACACATCTTATATATCATATATAATTATTTCATTCATTCTTTGATTAAAGATCTGCAACGTGTTGTTTAATTACATTGTCTACACAGTTGTCCAGAGTATTCTATTATGTTTTTTTTTTAATTTAATTGTCTAAAAGGGAAGGTTTAGAAAAGTGAAGAATCATTTTTCTTTTCATGGTATCCTGGCATACTTGTTACCTACATCTTTTCCTTTTAAACACTGTTAGCTTCTGTTTCTCCAGCACACAGTTAAAGCATTTTGGCAGTTGTTAAACATGGAAATGTGAAACTGCAGAAAACAAGTAGTCACCACTTTACCACAGGCAGCCTCACTAAGAAGTTTTCTTATGAAACTCACTGCTTTTTTTAATAAAATGAAGTCTGTTCTTAAATAGATAAGGTGCGTTCCTTAGCTTCTAGTGTTAGAAACTTGGCCTCAAACCTTGCCAGAGTTCCCATATGGCAACTTAAGCACTGTTCCCACACACTGTATTTTGGGGAATGAGTTTTGTTTCATTTCCTGTGTCCTTTGTCACTAGAGTTGTTGGCTTTACCAGCAGCATTCAAATAGTTAAGATTGTCTTAAGGAAACAAGCAGCCTCAGCCCTCCCTCCTTCCCTTTCTCAACCAGTCTCTGGCTTCCTCTTACGGTTTCGCTAATGGCAGCTCAGAGCTCCTGAGCTCGGTCTTGCCGGCATGAGCCCTTCCTTCTGCGAGAGCACATTTCCTGGCATGGGCCTTGAATCATGTCTATAAAATGGGTCCGGTTTCCTGAAGCACCCCTCATAACAGTGAGATTGATGGGACCAAAACATGGGGAGGTAAGAGCCAGACTTTAAAGCACTGAGTTCTGTTATAATAAACAGAGAGACAGTGGAGTCAATTGTTTTGTCTTGTTTTTATCCTAGGAAGAACTAATTTGGGTTGTTGCAAAGGATCAGGAAATTATTATTTATTCAGATTTGAAGAGCATCGTAAGGCTTGAGAGAATAAGCTAGTTGCCGTCGATTTTTTTGACTATTGGAGTGTGCTTTAGCTTTCCTGAGCAAAAAATCAGATGCTTTTTGGTTTAATGTTTCATGCATGGAAAAACCTTCAGCAAAATTTCGTTAAAAGAAAGAAATTATTTGAAGAAACTCAAATTTTGTTACTAATTTTTATTAGAGTTTTATATACTTTAGTTTTATTAGAGTTTTAAGTACTTTAGCAGTTTCTAATTTTCACTCAGAACAGTTTCCTGTTTTGTAAAGTGTAGTTTGTTTTTTCTCCCTTCCTCTCTCGTTATTTTTTATAGCTCAAAATTGTAGCAGTTTGGCTCTAGATCTTCATTATATGTATTGTGTTAACAAAGGACTTCACACGAATCATAGATTTAGCAGATATTTACCATTTCAGTGTAGCGGATGGGTTCTGAACAGAAAGGCAGAAGACCTGGGTTCTCATTTTGACTGTGCTGATCATTTGCTGTGTGACCTTTTGCAAGTCAGTGAACCTCTCCAGTCTTTGGCAGTATCGTGTAGTGAATGAGAGCTGAGCTTTATAGTTAGCCAGGTCTGGATCTTCTTTTTTTTTTTTTTTTTGGCGTATTATGGGGGTACAGATGTTTAGGTTACATATGTTGCCCTTACCCCCACTCAAGGTCTGGATCTTAATTCCAGCCTGGGCAATTATTGATGTGTAGCCTCAAATACATTATTAAACATTTCTAAGGTTCAATCTCTCAGATATAAAATGGAGATAATAACCAGTACTTAATTCACTGGTGATTGTGAGAAAATGCATAGGAATTGCTTATTACAGTGCTCGGCTTACAGTAACTGTTCAGAATTTTAGCTGTTGTTGTATTTATCCTCTTGATTGTAAAATGAGAAGCATATGCTCACCCTTCAGAGTTACTGAATCAGATGAAATTATGTAGAAAGCATTGATTCAAAATGTAAGACAGTAGTAGTTGTCATGATCACTAACTTTGGGGTAACCAGTTTTCAGGATTTTTTTAGATCACAGCAATAGTATATGGCAGTAGGTGAACCTCCTACCTCTGTGATTTGCACTTCTTCATAGTCCAGTTGGTTTGAAAGGAAATTATTCCCTTGATATTGATTAGCTAGCCAAGTGCTCTGCCAAACAGTGCTTCCAGAGGACCTTTTGTAGAGAACCTGGTCATACCCTCACGGTTCTAGCCTCCCGAGGATAGTGAGTACCTGAAATGTCCCTGACTGTTTTAGATATTTTATTAAGGATCTAGCACTCATCAGTATTTCTTCAAGTTTAAGTTTTCAAGGTTTGAGTTCCTTCTCATTCCTCTTCATGACTTTATAAGCTTTGGTGACAACCCCTCTTAGGTCAAGGCCTGGTGTTATATGAAAGTCCTCTGCTTCCGGTCTGTCTCTGAAGCATTTCTGACATTCCTATGTCCTTCAGGTGACATGGCCAGGGCAATCTGGCACTCAGGGCTCCTGAATCCCAGGGCAGTGCCCTGATCCCCCCAACCTGATCTCTCCTTTGCCAGTGTCCCCGAGTTTTTTACCTGTCCCAATTGCAGTCTGCTCAGTTAGTAGAAAGCACCTAATGAGTGGCTGGGCGCATAGTAAATATCAGATGACTATCCGTTTCCTCTTCCCTCGCTAACAGGTAAGGGAAGCCCACAGGAAAACACGGGAGCCTTGCAGAGGAGATCAGAGGGCAGGTGTTGGGAAGCCTTGTCTTCCGAAACTAGAGACACCCTGTCAGCTTTTCCTTTCTTCCCGTCTCCCTGGGTCCTCAGGGCAGAGGAATGAACAGCTAGGCCTTGGGACTTCTTTCTTTGCGAGGCCATTTTCTTAAAGTGACCCCTTTGGTAATTTGCTTGAGGGGACAACAGAGGTGGTTTTGAGAAAGGCTATTAACAAGCCTTCTTCCTCTCATCTCTGCATTCTACCTATCCTCCCCGTTCTTCACCACTGTCCTTCTGCTACTCCCTGATTTCTTTATCAAAATATTTCCTTTCCCTTACTGTAAGCAATGTATTTATATGTTGGGATAGCAGAGTCATAAGCTAATGAAACTCATTTTTAATAAGTTAGGAATAATCATTATGATAACTGTTGCTGAGTGTTACTGTATACTCACTCTGTGTCCAGCAGTGTGCAAAATGCTTCACAGGTATTGTCCTACCTAATTATTTTTCAAAAAAACATATGATATAGGTACCTTTGTTGTTATTCCTACTTTACAAGGAAACTGAGGTTCAGAGAAATAATTTACCCAAGATCACACCAATAGTTAGTAGTGGTAGTAGAACCTAGATTTGAACCCAGGGCTGACACCATTATCCATAAAATTCTAGTTAGTAAAAACTGAAAATGTACATGTGAGGGATGTTTGATACTCTGGCTAGAGTAAAGGAGGAAACACCGTAGATACCCGCTCACTTAGGGATGGGCAGTTGGTGTGAGAAAGTCAGAGCGGAGCCTCAGTAATTTTTCATGCTGCCCAGTCACGTTTCCTCTCCCTCAGGCTGATCCCACAGTCGCTACCATGCTTGCTTCTGTTCCCTGCCTACAGCTGGCCCTACACTCAGTGCTCTCTTCCTGTGCGGACTGTGCCGTGGCTTACTGAGGAGGTTCCTCTTTTCAGCAGGCTCTTCCCAGTGTTGGTCCCTGGGCATCGTGTCTGTCAGTGTAAATAACCACAGAGCAAGCCACTGCCAGAACTGTGCAGCCTGCCCACTTTCCCTCTGATTTTTCTAGCGCACCTTGCTCGCTAGCAACTTAATTTTTAAAAATATGCCCAGACCATTATTCCTCGCTTTTGCCCAAAACACTCACCAACCCACATGCCATCTGAGTGCCCACGTAAGGGGAAGGTTCGCCATTGTTCGATTAACTGTTGATTCTTTTCTTTGGCAGGAAAAGGAAAAAGAGAAAGATAAAATTAAGGAGAAGGAGAAAGATTCTAAAGAGAAGGAGAAAGACAAGAAGACTCTCAACGGACACACTTTCAGTCCCATTCCTGTTGTGGGTCCTATCAGTTGTAGCCAGTGCATGAAGCCTTTCACCAGCAAAGATGCCTACACTTGTGCAAGTAAGAGACAGCTTCCTCCTCTCATGAAATGGGACTCTCCTGGCTCAGCAAGGCTCATTTCTAGTTTCCTCTCCATCCCACCCCTTATCTGTTCCCCATGTGGAGAAGTAACCCTTTTTACAGTTTTCTTTAAACATCATGGAAGAAATAAAGTCTAGGTATATACTATACAGCCTATATTCGTTTCAGACAGCCACAGTTTCAAATACAGACAGTCCCTGACTTGGATTGTTTAACTTTTGATTTTCCAACTTTACAATGGTTTCAAAGTGATAAACCATAGTTTGAGTACCCATACAACCATTATGTTTTTCACTTTCAGTACAGTATTCAATAAATTACATAGGCTATTCAACACTTTATTATAAAATAGGCTTTGTGTTAGCTGATTTTGCCCAACTATAGGCTAACGTAAGTAAGTGTTCTGAGCACGTTTAAGGTAAGTTAATCTAAGCTACAATCTTTGGCAGGTTTGGGTATATTAAATGCATTTTCAACTTATTTTCAACTTAGGATGGGTTTTAACTGGATGTAATCCCATCGTAAGTCGAGGAGCATCTGCACTTTGTTCTGTGGTCTGTAAACCATTCCATAGTACAGAAGTCTGTGTCAGCATCAAAACAACCCATAGCCTCAAATCCTAAAGCTACTCAGCAACTCTTTGTCAGATCGTATACACTCGTTTTTTATTCTAGTACTTGGTGTGTGCCTTGGCCGTTTACCAACATTCAGCCATGGCGACTGCCCAGGGAGAGCACCTCCTACACAGAGACACTCCATACTGGCCTGCTGCTGGCCTGCTTCAGGCCACTGTAAAGCATCTTTGATAAGATGCTCTCAGGCAGGAGTTGGTTAACTTTTTCTGTACAAGACCAGATAACAAATATCTTAGGCTTTGTGGGCCATATGGTCTCCGTCACAACTACTAAACTGTGCAGTTGCAATGCAAAAGCAGCCATAGACAATATATAAACCAATGAGCATGGCTGTGTTCCAATAAAACTTTATTTGGGGACACCGAAATTTGAATTTCATAAAATTGTTTTGTAATATTAATCTTTTTATTTTAAAAAACTATTTAAAATGTAAAAACTATTCATAGCTCATGGGCTGTCTAAAAACAGGGTACGGGCCAAATTGGGCCCACGGCCATAATTTGCAACTGTCTGCTCTGAGGCAGTACATCTCAAAATTTATTGCACATATAGAAATTAATAATATTTGTAGAGCACACCACAGTAAATCAAGGAGGTTGCTTGTGGTCAGAGGTGACCAGTCTGGAGATCCAGCTACCCCACGCCGAGCCCAGTCACCCAGAAGGCTGAGGTGATTAGCATCATGTTATACCCATAAACCTATAACCAGTTCAGACAAAACTGTGACTAATTCAGACTCCAAGGAGCAAATCTCAGACCATGATGTCATGGTATCTCTTTTTAGTCATTTGTGTTGCATATCCCAAGGAATTTGTTACTAAAAATAGGTAACTTACTGAAATTTGAAATTTTTTAAGTTCATCTGGGCAGATTCAAAGTAACTTCTTCAGTGATTTCCACCCACTTCCTTGAATAGAAGAGAAGGAGTGGAATTACAGCCTGTCTTATCTATGTTGCTGCTGTTGTAACTTTTATAAATGACTGGCTTTATCATGCACTTTCTTCTAAGATGATTTTCATGGATATGTTATACCCCTAAAATAGTCTGCAACCCTATATGTTTTACTGTCCTCTTTAAAAAAACAAACAAAAAACCATGGGAGCTCTCTAAATCTTTATGCATCCCTGTGAGCAGAGATCACACACATTAATGTCATCCTTCATGTGTAACTTACCAGAAAATTGAGAGCTACTACCTCATTGTAATAAGTTTCATGTGACTTTTAGGAAACAAGTGACAATCACTGTCCAGCAGCCCTCCAGTGTTTTTATTTTGGATCAGGTTCTAATAGGACTCTTTTATAGGATACCTATTGTATGTCTACAGTTTAGTTTTTAAGCCACTGGACACAGCATCTCAGTGCTAAATTAACCTGGTTGCATAGTAGCCCCCAAGCACTTTTTAGCATTTTCATCTATCATTAAAACTTTTTTAGCATACTCACACAGCATATACATGTATGTATGTATAAAACATCAAAATTACGCATGAGTCCTACTACGCCATACTTACAAAGAGCTCATTCTAAGAATAAGAGAAGTCTTAGATTTGCCATTTTCTTGTTTTCTGTTTAACTATTAGTATGATTAGTTTTGTCTTTTATTCACGGCTTCTTTGAAGGAATTTGCATGATTCTTTTTCATTTTATCTTAGTTGAAACCAGGTATATATTTCCATTCATCACAGCATGCTAAAAGTAAGCAAATGTAGAAGGGTGCCACCGTTACGCATCTTTAGCCCACCTCCCGAATGAGGAACACTCCTTCCTCTCTCAAGAAACCTCTAGTATTAATTCCATTTCTCTTTTAAGAAGTCAATTTAAATAAGCTATAAAATTTTCCTCCTTTATTTTAAGGGATCATTTTACATATCCTTCCCTGCAAAGTGCCTGTCCTTCTTTTAGGGGGAGCACTAGTCTCAGGAAAACAGGAAGTGGCCATATTTTTTGATTGGCAGTATGAAATTAATACTCAAGGACCTGCCTCAAAGCAGACTGGACACCTGCTTTCTGCTATAAAATATGAAAATGCTAGATAAAATAATATACATTTTTAAAAATGAATACAGAGCTAAACCTGCCGGTAGGAAAATCCCCAAGGGAACTCAAAATTAGAGCAGTCAGTATAGCATGTGCTAGAACCTCCCTTGGAAATGGAGATCTGGTACACCTCTTGGAGACTTCCATTGACCAAGGATACTAGAGCAACCCATGGAAAATCACTTGTATAAGGTCTGGTACTGATTAGGAAAAACTGCATGAAAGGTTTGAGACTTAGAGTCTTAAATTCCTGGTCACACATCTGTGTAGTAATTAAATAGTTCAATGGATAGGGCAGTGGTTTTCAGGATGTCTGGTGTTTGGAAATGGTGCAGATCTTTGTATACATTTAAAACTAATTTTGAGCCTGCATAAAAAATATGCATTCTTAAAAATGTAATTACTAGATTTTAACATCAGTTTTAACTTTGGCTATCAGCCTAACTGCTTATTTGTGTTTTTCCTTCCATCGCTAATAAATTGAAGAATATACTGTGATTACAAGACAGGCCATTAACAAAAACTGCTAATATTTGTACTTCTCTGTGTGAATAAATATGTTCTCTGTATCATGTACTCAAAACTAAGTACAGGCTATGTGTGGTAGCTCACACCTGTAATCCTAGGACTTTGGGAGGCCAAGGCAGGAGGATTGCTTAAAGCCAGGAGTTTGAGACCACCCTGAGCAAAAGTGAGACCCCAATCTCTACAAAAAATAGAAAAATTAGCTGGGCATGGTGGCACACACCTATAGTCCCAGCTACTGAGGAGGCTGAGGGAGGAGGATCACTTGAGCCCAGGAGTTTGAGGCTGCAGTGAGCTATGATGATGCCACTGCACTCTAGCCCAGGCAACAGAGCAAGACCCTGTCTCAAAACAACAACAACTAAATACGAAATAAATTAGATGCTAAGATAGATAATTGAATTGCAAGTATCACGTACCTCTCATTTCACATTTTTTAGTTCATTAAAACAGCTTCATTGTTCTCGTTGACTTTAAAATTAAATATTAAAATTATAACTCAAAAAATAAATCTATACTAAATATTTTACATATTTGGTACACGATAATACAATATTTCATTTAAGACTTTTTATAAAGTCTTTTAGAAAACCAGTGAAACAGTGGATTAGCTACTGGTATTATGCTAGCATTGTTTATAATAAGTGGGATGGGACTTTTTTTGATGAACCTGTAAATTTTAATATGAAGTCACCCAAGGAATCTGCTTCTGGAAGCAGATTATTTAATGAAGCCCAGTGTGTCATCTCTAGACTAGAGTCTTTTCTGTTTGAGAGGTCTCTGGGGGAGAGATATCATAATGTCCTTTGCTAGTATTCTCTGATTTATAGTAATAGCTTGATCTGTTCAAATGTCAGAGGTGACTGGGCCCAGTGGCTCATGCCTATAATCTCAGTGCTTTGGGAGGCTGAGATGGGAGGATCACTTGAGGCCAGGAGTTTTGAGACCAGCCTGGGCAACACAGTGAGACCCCATCTCTACAAAAAATGTTTTTTAAAAAATTAGCCAGGCATGGTGACACACACCTGTAGTCCTAGCTACTCAGGAGGCTAAGGCGAGAGGATGGATCACTTGAGTCCAGGAGTTCAAGGTTACAGTGAGCTATTCAGGCCACTGTGCTCCAGTCTGGGTAACAGAGCAAGATCTTGTCTCTTAAAAAAAAAAAAAAAGGTTATCTTAGTTCTACCTGCTTACCAAAAAAAAAGAAAAAGAGTTAATATTTTTAAGGTTTAAACCGAAAAGAATCAGATAGCAAAAAGGAATCATTTAAGTAGGACTTGATCATTACCCTAATATGCACCTAAGTTTCAAAAAATACATTTTTAATTTGTATACCACCCCACATCAGAAACTGAGGAGCCCAGTGCTTCAACTACAGTTTTGTGCCCTACTCCAGAAGTAGTGTTGAAATAGTCTCAACATTTGGTGTTGGCATTAAGGTTTGTGTATGACAGTGTGCAGCCTGCCTCTTATAAAAAGGGAGGTGGGGGGAATCAAAGCTTGAAAGCAAAGGACAAGTGTGTAGTCATCTTCCCAAAGGAGCAAAAGTAATGGGCTGATTCTCTTAAGCTTCCTGAAGAACAGAGCCTGCATGTTTGTATGAAGACCCATCTGTTATGTTGGCAGGAAGTGGAAAATATGAGTAATTTGGGGACTCAGAATCTTTTGTCCCTTCCCTCCATCCCCTCTCATGTCCAGGATCTTCCCAGGAGTCTCCGGAAACATAGCGTCCGTGCAGTTAGTCATTTACATCCCAGGAAACCATTGTGCTCTTAGAAGA